ACACTACCGGTCTACACAAGCCTAACTCACATCTGTGGCGAAGATTTTTCATTATTGTAGCCAGGAGCAAGCAGCGAGGCTGGACAGAGCTGCTCAATATCCTTGAAGCATTTACTCATATCAATTTGTGTGTATAAGTGTATGGAACACAGGTTCGGTCACCAATCCATTGAGCAGCACAATAAAACAAGCACATGCCTATGAGTATGAAGTAGCAAAGGCTTATAGCGTTAAGGCCAGTAGCAGCGGCAGCACCACCAAAAACCCTAGCAGCGCTGTACCAAACAATAGACAAGCATTGCTGCTGGTGATGTCGCCGAGAGTCGTAGCGCTAGTAGTATATCGAAGGGTAGTTTGGACATTCAGTTTTTGGTTTCTTACCATCATTGTAAACAATGCAGTCAAGCAGTGTTCGAGTACCTATGCATGGTTGGGATGTGCCAGGCCCTAACTTTGAAAAACATATCCATGCAACGCGTTATGATGAATCGTCAAACCGCTCGTGGTGACAACAGTCAGGTAAGTGTTTCAAAAAAGGAACACATAAATGCTTGAATGTTGCAGAGAATGAGTGTATTTAGTAGTATTGGTAGTTTTTTTTCTCCATTGTTGAACCAACGAGAACCATGTTATCGAAATTATTGTCAGACATCTTATGCATTCAATTTAGGTAAAATTACTCAATAAAACGTTTAAAGCATGATTTATTGTAGAACTCATTCTTTATTCGGTAAAGGGTGTAAACTCGTGGAGTTTATTTTGTAAACGAAGTTAGTTACGTAACCCACTTTCCTCAACCTTTTATCAGGCTGCAATAAATATGTATCACAGCGCACAGCAGTGCGCGCGAGTGACGAAAACAGCCTCAGTAGCATGCTGAAATGACTCGCTTATATATACACGAGATTTGGAAGTTTTTATCCAGACGTCCAATCGACATGTTTGAGACATCATTGGAAAGGTCTTGAGGAGTGTATTCAAGCTTCATAAACGATTTCCCGGATTCTTAAATAATAGGCTAAAGTGTTGCGAAACAAAAAACGCTTTTTTACTTTTGCCGGTTTAAAGGGGCATGTGGGTAAACTCAACATATTGAGTGCTATTCTATAGGCCAATACCTTTCAAACGATACCTTAAATATTAAGTTCCGACTACTAGTTGGAAAGATATAGAGGTAAATGTGCTTTGGTTCGTGTCTCCACTACGAGATGCTTTGGTATGTATGTGGCGTCTGTACGTACCTTCATTTAATTTTTTTCGAACTTTCAGGAATTATAGTACAAAAAAACTAAGGTTTTGTTCCAGGATGTTTTGATTCGTATGCCTTTGTGGGCGTGGCTGCTGCCTGAAATTCGCAAAAAGGCGATTTTCAAACTACCGCTGAGGCCGCAATACTCAGTCCATGTCATTGATGCGGACATCAGTAGAAGGGCCTTCAAACGAGCTATCTAACGCTAACCTCTGTGTTTATGAGATATAAATATGTCATAACTTGTCGCCTGAAAACTAAAAATCGGGCTGCTGAAAATATAGATTTCGGGCATTTTCTCAAAAACTGGTCAGTCGATTTTATTCTAATTTTGCTCAAGTCTAGCCCGAAACTTTAGCGTTTATTTGGTATACAGTATATTTTGCTTAGCTGCACATCCTTCTTTGCACGAAAAACTTGTGCACGTAACCGAAAAAGGCACTTAGCGAATTTTCTTTACTACTTCAATGAGGAAGGTATCCGAATCCCTATGAAACCAAATATTGGCGGAGCACTTACCATGTAGAAATTACTGCAAGCGAAATTTTTACCGAATGTTATCTAATTATCTATATAACTACATAAATTGATAGCCATTTTCGTTGTTCTGCGAGATGAGCAAAATAAATAAAAGGTTGTAAAATTAGGTAATTGTAGGGCCAGTGCAGGTACGTAATAATTTGATTGATAACACTGGACCACAAATTTCAACTTTTTCTCTTTACCAGAAACGCCGTTATGAAATTCTTATGTAAAATCACCCCCTGATTCCGAAAATCAAGGTTATTTTTAATTCTATGGTACCGTTTTTGAGATATTTGCAATTTACCGTTTTTGCAAAAAAAAAAAAAATTGGGTCCACTTTATCATATATATCTCAAGATATCGATGCAAAACTACGTAAGTTATAAGCGATCAAATAAAAATACCCAGGTTGCGCAACTTCAATGTATGTACCTATACATACATACATATATTAAAGGTATAAAGTGCAAGTGAGATATTATCCGGATAAACGAATAACACCATAACAATGATAACACTTTTTCTTTAAATAAATCAAATAGTACTTTTAATACTCGAATTGTATTATAGTAGGTAGAGTGGTTGCATCGAAAGGAAGAGTGGTTGGGTTCGAAACCTGCTGTAGGAATGTAGTTATAAACATGTATTTCCGTCAGTTATGGGTAAGTATGCAGGTAGATTTTCAAAATTATAAGACACAGAAAATTTCTAAAGCCTACATCTAAAACAGGTAGTATTTTCTTTTCCCGGCTTGTTATAAAAAGTAACCTTTCTGTCTAGGTAAGATTTGATTTTTTCAATTTTATTCTTGTTCCGAGTATAAATATGAGTTAATGCGCTTTGAAACTTCATAACATCTTCAAGGCTCGCCGGAGATAGTTCAGTTCATAAGTCTAATTTCAAAACCGTGATTTATTAAAAAAAATAAAATGAGTAAAAGGAAGCGAGAATTTGAGTGTAATAAGGATCCAGATATGTTCTGTTTCATGTGTGGCCAATATACTATCATAAGGCGACGACGAGTGTTCTCAGATCATATCAAAACTTTATACTCCAAGTATTTTGGAATTGAGCCTAAAAATGCTGAAAAACCATGGACACCGAACACTTTGTGTACATCGTGTCGAGTAGAATTGATTCAGTGGGAATCAGGACAACAAACAAAATTTGATACACCAATGATATGGAGAGAACCTACTTGCCATTCAATAGAGTGTTATATTTGTCAAACAAAAGTACTTGGCGCTGGAAGATCAAGAGGAGTAACCTATGCTAGCGTACCTACAGTGACATGACATTACCAATCAAATTAAGATAAAGATTGTTAGAATATAGTATAAACATAAATAAATAAAAAAAAAAGTTAAAAATATGGGTAATTTCATTCATAAATTGAACTTTTAACTCAATAGAAACAGAGAATAGCTAGATATTTCACTCTTCTTTATACCATACATACGTTTTGAGGTATACGTTGAAATTGCGCAACCTGGGTATTTTTATTTGATCGCTTATAACTTACGTAGTTTTGCATCGATTTTCTTCGATGATAGCTTATTTTTTTTGTAATACAACAGAGCTTAGGGAGAAAAAAAAATCTGCAAAAAAATAAAAGGTTTTCGAGATCCTTCCCCGCAAAGTACAATTTCTTTTATATTTTTACAAAAAAAATTGAAAAAATCGGTAATGATTGTTCGTTATCTTTGAATCTACAGGGCCTAGCAAAAAGTGTTGTATGCACAGCTTATAGAAAATTTTATTACCTTCTAAAAGCTTCAAACCGTTTTGGAATTGCTTTATTCGTTCTTGAGATATATATGATTAAGTGGACCCAATTTTTTTTTTTTTTTGCAAAAACGGTAAATTGCAAATATCTCAAAAACGGTACCATAAAATTAAAAATAACCTTGATTTTCGGAATCAGGGGGTGATTTTACATAAGAATTTCATAACGGCGTCTCTGGTAAATTTTGGCCGTCGACCAGTGTAATTGATACTAGTCGCACAATTTTTAAGGCAGGTATCGCCAATGTGCAGGTATGTTGAATGCATCTATCGGAGCAGTTTCCTTATAAATGTTAAAAATAATGCTTTTGATGCGCATTTTGGGGTAGGTATCTTAAATGTGCACTTAAGCATAGAGGCAGCAAAGCAAAATATACTGTATAGCCTATATCTGGGAAAACTCTTGTTGTGGAGATATGGCGAAAATTAACATACCCAGTTCCCCGAAAAAAAATTGCCCATTCCCCAATTGCCACTTAAACCGAAATTCAATGCAAATCGGGGGGATTTCCCGCGAGTTGACAAGTTGAAGGATGCAGCTGTGCTAATCAATTCGTCTTGGAAACCATAATTTGTGTGTATTTTAGAGCTTTTCCAGTCCCATGCCGAAATTGTAATATTTTTCACCATTTTGATTGTAGGTATGTAAACAGTATTTAACTATGCTACATGAGTTTATCACCCGCACTTAACCTACCTGGGAAGACGCGTACTATATTACTTACAGTTGTACATAAATATGTATGTATGAATGCATTTAGTTCACCCAATCTGCCGCTACTACTTACATAAAATGTATAAATTGCCACTGAGCAAAACTACTTGAGAAAAAAGCATTAGTTTAATAGCACGAGTGCAACACCGTACACGTGATAGAAGTAAAAATTCTTAAAAAAGCACATGTGTATGCCCCACACCCAGTAGAAATCTTAACGAAAATAAACTACGATACAATCAGACGAATACAGTGGTTTATTGTATCCAAGTTGATACATTTTTATCATTTCTCATATTTTTTTTATCTTTTCGAATACAAAGGATGATCATTGTTTTTCGCTTTATTCCGTATTCGAAAAATGATATGTATGTTTCAATGGACACATCGATTTGAATACATAATTTAGATTTAGATAATATTTTTAGCAATTTATTTAAGAAAAAATTACATTTAGATTATTGTTTGTATTTTCGTCGATTTTAAATTTGCTACCCCAAAATAATTGATTTCAAATAAAACACCTCTTTGAGGTAAAATTTTCGAGTAACGAAAGCTAAATGAACTAAAAACACAAAATTTATGATATCAATTTCGTGACGAAAATTATACGCATTTTT